GACTCATTAACATCTTTGTTCGAATGCCTGGCTTCATCGCGTTGTATTCGCGTTTTATCTCCGAATTTCTTCTTCGTTTCGTTATATCGGCTGATTTACAACCGCGTCTCTGTCTTGCCGGCAACTTGCTTCATATTCTATCGTTAATTTGCACTCTCTGCTAATAGGTTTGCTTGGCTAATAGGTTTAACTATTGCATAGTTGTTTGATCTTAAGAGTAAAATTCGCGTATATATGCTTAGAGGGGGCATTAGCAAGCGTAAATGATCGTTTTAAACGAAAGTTACGTACTTATGATGTGGTTTTCGAAGAAAAAATATTTGACGTGTATCTCTCTTTTTTTCCTGCTTCTTTCGCTTTTTCTCTCCCTCGCCTTTTTCTACGTGCTCGTATCTACGACGAAGGAGGAGGAAAACTGTGGTGAACGTTCAGAGGGAAACGTATTCCACGAAACACCTTGGAAATTATTTTTATATTCGTTGTTAGAGTTTCATGCTTCGCGTTTTGTGTTCGAATTTGTACGTTTTTGAAGTTTACACGCAGCGAAAACATAAATAGCAACGCATAGGGAATATGGAATATAAGAGGTGCGCTCTAAGTGAAGTTTAAGTTGCAGATTTTGAGTCTAAATGCAAATACGAACGATGTTAAGGAGCTTGGCGATTGGGAGACCATAACAGCGAACCAACGAGGAACGTAACCGAAAGCCCGTGCTAACTCGCAGCAGAAGGATTATGAACGAATAAACAATAAATAAGTAACAATATCTGAGCAACTATTAGTTTTAGAAAGATAGCTGAAACGTGCATGCTGCTTGTTTCTAATCAGGTAAATTTAACTAGATAAATAACGTCTTAAAAAATTATTTCGTTTAACAAAGTATAATGAAGACTAGCGTACATTGCTTCAAAAGCTATAACAAAGATTAGCATGTTGCTGCGAAATGTTCATCCGCTTTTCGTTTCTACCATCGTCACAAGGAATCTGAAAATGTACATATGAAAACTACAAAATATCGATCACAAGTATGTAAACATTACGCAGAGATCGCAATAGATTTTACAATAAATCGGAATAACATTTAAACAGCCATATTCAATGCGCATTATATGCTTAAAAATAGACTGAGTCGTACAGCATGCTAATCTTTTGTTTCAATATTTCTTTCAAATAAATACCTGCATGTAACTTCCTCGTAGATATTTTCAGATTAGTTACCGATGTTAGATGCCGATATAATCGTGACGAGCTTCAAAATATTCTATGTAACAGGTAGAATATTTTCTATGACCAGTGAGCAAATACCCTTCGCGAGACAGCGTATGAAGATCGTTAAGCATCGTTTAAAATTTTATTCCTGGTGACTCATCGATCTACGGATTTTCGAAATTTCTGTCCTCTTATTTTAAATAGCTGGACAGTGTACAAAATAATTTTTATCGTGTTATGCAATTAATCGATCAATTAACGGCGATGAGTCGACTCGCATAGATTAGATAAGGGTGATACGACCAATTTGACCGTGATTCATTTGGCTATTCTTCCGCGGCGGCTACACATACAATAGATCCGATTCGGGTTTAGAACGAGAACGGTATCAATGTCGTGGCCAATGACCCTCGTCAGTGAGAAAGAGGGAGCAAAAGAGAGAGGCTGACTCGGCGCGGCGCGGCGGCCAGACGTAGCTTCCTCGTTGCACGATGAAATTTCCTCTTTAACTAGCGATTAAACGATTCGAACCTCCGGTTGCGGGTTTAATTCGTGCGGATTCTTCTTATTCGGCTAAGTGCACCGAGCCTGTTCTATTTTAGGCTACACGATCACACGAGCATTGAAACAAAGAATGTTAACGCATTGTTAACGAGACACTTTCCTAGCAACTAACTAAACTATCCAACTAGCTAAGTAACTGGCGATACTTGGACAAAAAATGAATTCGTCCGTACTTGATATATTGCGATATTTTTAGAAAGGCGATTAGAGGAATAATCAAGAGGAATTTGTTTTATCTGCTAAATGTTATAATCGTTACTATGGTTTTTCTGAATGCATAAAAAGCCACGGTTTAGTAATAACTACTGATCTACAACTTATAACGCGAACAATTTCTGCTTCATATATATTTCTCTTTTTTTTATCAAGACGAATTTATTTATATCGACAGCTATAAAAAAAAATTAACGATTTCGTGAAGTTGTGCGCTTCATGATAAATGTTTTTCTTTTTTAAGTTGGCCGATTTTTATTCGGCAAGAGGTCAACATATAACTTCACTTCTGATTAGCGAAGTGAAGTATTATTTAAGAAGTAATTCGAACATAAACTATTTTTATTACGAATCCCTCTATCATTGTGTGTGCGTGTGTATGCGTACGAACATAGAACGTTACATTTGTGGATTCTCTTTTTACAAAGGATTAAATACGTTGCGATGTGATTGTATGTATCGCGTGGAAGACCAATTGGAATCATCCGCGGATAACGTAAGTTTTAATTAGGATGCTGGCTGATACGATCCGTCATTAAAGTATTAGCTAGTTACTTGAATTCAAGTCGCTGATTATTAAACAGCCTGGCCTCAATGCGTGTTCATAGAAGTCAAGTTACTTGACTCGACATAATCTAACTGCAAGTGGGTATCCAATGGAAAATGAATTTCTAACATGCCGTATGGCTAAAATTGACTTAATTTGAGGAATCAATGCCAAGAAACACGAAGCTATAAATAGCACCTTACGTTGTCTAATAACTATAACTATTGTTTCTGTTCGAGTCAAAGAATAGAACTTGAAAGAACTTCAACTTTACTTGCCAGAATTTCGAGAGAATTTGTGTGGTTTCATATTAGTAGTTTAATGATCGAGACGTTGAGACGGTCAGAGGACAGCTCAAAATGTGTTTCAATTACCCTCGAAACCTTCGAGTTAAGGTCATTGCCAGTCTAGCTTTGATCTTTATTAATTGGCGTTGAACGATGCGTCTCTCTCTCTCTCTCCTTCTCTCTCTCTCTCTCTCTCTCTCTCTCTCTCTCTCTCTCTCTCTCTCTCTCTCTCTCTCTCTCTCTCTCTCTCTCTCTCTCTCTCTCTCTCTCTCTCTCTCTCTCTCTCTCTCTCTCTCTCTCTCTCTCTCTCTCTCTCTCTCTCTCTCTCTCTCTCTCTCTCTCTCTCTCTCTCTCTCTCTCTCTCTCTCTCTCTCTCTCTCTCTCTCTCTCTCTCTCTCTCTCTCTCTCTCTCTCTCTCTCTCTCTCTCTCTCTCTCTCTCTCTCTCTCTCTCTCTCTCTCTCTCTCTCTCTCTCTCTCTCTCTCTCTCTCTCTCTCTCTCTCTCTCTCTCTCTCTCTCTCTCTCTCTCTCTCTCTCTCTCTCTCTCTCTCTCTCTCTCTCTCTCTCTCTCTCTCTCTCTCTCTCTCTCTCTCTCTCTCTCTCTCTCTCTCTCTCTCTCTCTCATGTGGGTAGTGTCCATGGACTTAACAACAAAGTTGACAAAGAGGGTAATCACTCTGAAGAAGAGCAATGTGACAGAGTATAAAGGCAAAGAAGCATTAAGTCATTTTGTCGTGCTAATTCTTAACTACTCGAACTGAACTTTTCAAAGAAATGTAATTAATCACTCCACGCGTGTCTCATGGATACAAAGAACACGAATTTATAATAATACGATGATAATTCTACTTAGAAAACAGCAGAGGCTGTCTAATTTCTAACAGTAATATTGAATTTCATAAACCTAAAACTCAATTTCTTCAGTTTACAAACAAGAGGAGGTAGAACAGTTAAGAGCTAGAGCGATGATTTGTTTATTATCAAAGTTGGGCATTATTCGAATTGTTTCGTATAAACATTTATCTGAGATAATTAGTCGAATAAGTGTTTACATTAATCCAACATTTTATTCGCATAATGGTTACCTGTGCCTCGTAACAGATTGTTTTCACTCGACTAATGACTTTAGAATCGTTCGAGTAACAATACGAATAATTATTCATTTATTTCCACTTGATTCTGTGCAAGTTTATTAATACGATTTTGGACTATTATATTACTTTACCGAGCAATAGTAAACTTTGTATATAATAATAAACTGTAATCGGAAGTTTCATTCTTTCACAACAATTTCTTCCCACGAAGAAATTATGTTCTCGACTGTGGGAATAGATGAGAGTTAAGAGATAACTAAATCTGATGCGAAAGAGATGAATGTGGCGGTAAATTATAATTCAGTTCAATGATTCTCACTAGAAACGGCGCTTTTATGCAGATGACTTTCTCTGCTAAACTTCTGATTCTTTTACACGCGGTACTATGATTTTCTCTGCTGCAACCCATACACTTCTTACTTTATACCTCAGAAGCCGATATTTTCACGAATCTTCGCTAATATTAAATATTAAAAAAACACTGTTTTATATAACTGTATAACACGAATAAAATTATTTAAAAGATTGCATCTGGAATATCAAGCGAAGAATCTTTCTGAAAATTTCTGCGCGCCTCTAATCATTCATGCATCACTAGATCGCGAAAGTTTACCCACTTGTGGAAAATCTAAAACCTGCAAATTGTTCGTTTTCGTTGCTCGGCGGTAAAATAAAACGCGTATTACTTGTCGTTATACACATTAGAAAAGAAACTTTTGGCTCGATTCTAATCTATCTATTAGTTCTAGTACATCATCCGCCTCATAGAAAGTCCTACGAAATTTATCAAACGATCTTATCTTCGCGGTACCGTGAAAGTGAACAAGCTAATCGTACACAAAAATGGAACATTATTTTTATCTATTACTATTGCAAAGAAAAAAAAAAAAAAGAAAGAAAGTGGAAAGGAGAAAGAAGCAACAAGAAATGTAGCCACGATATAAGATGCAATATCAAAATGAAGATACCGCTAAGTAGAATTACAAAACCATATACAGCCACAGGATACATCACGATTCCACAACCTTACTTCTTACACGAATGTACATACGAATGTAGTCCATAGGATAAAATGATAAAAACTCACCGAACTGATTTGAAAGATCGACAAATTGGAAAAGAACGATATACAGATACGTTGACTTGAATGATGGAACACGAATCCCTATAATCCCGTACGGCGACCACAATGGTCGACGTGAGCTGCAATGCGTGTCGAGGATTACTAAGGGACCGAAATGTGGGCCAGCTACTTTAAAGACGAGTCAACTAACGAAAGGTGAACTGAGCGTACCTGGGACCAATCAGAGTAGCTTGTACCTGACTCTGTTTGAGTCAGTGAAAGACAACTTCTCCCCACTTATCTACCTATTAATGCATCTATACAATACATCACGCGTGGTGTATGTGTGCATGCACACACACCTACATGCGCACGCGCAAAGACACAAATATTGGAATTAGGAATCACTTTTCACGGTCCTCGCTCAATGTCAACAATTCACTCCCACAAAATATTATCGTTAACCCTTACGGAATATTATTTTGCTGCAGAATGTGAATGGGACCGTAGTAATTAGTATCTCTGATCACTTCTTGCAGCGATTATCTTGTTTGCGAGATTAAAGAAATATTTTTCAAGTTAAGAAGACACTGGTTCGATTAGAAATTATGATCATTGATAAAAGCGAGGAATCAATGGCAAAGATAAATGAATTTCAGTTTAATCCTTGTGATGCTAAATGCGATATAATTCGTTTGTAACAGAAATCTAATTATACGTGAAAAAAGATACGAAACCTCTTGATAAGCAGATTATTAGCGGAATTACGAGTTAACTCGTCTTCTATGGTTAAGTGCGTAATTATTTCTCTACTTTCTATCGCTGCTGTATGCGAGGACTACAGATGAAGAATACGATAAGTTACATTTTGCTAGGTTTTTTTTTTATAGAGGAACAATCTTGAAATTCAATAGAATGTCGATCAATTTCATGTTATCAAAATTTATTTGTTCTCGAAATATATGTTCTTTCTCCTTCCTCGAAATTTTCGAAATATCGTTCTTCGTTATATCAACGTTATTAATTTGTATCATCGACTTCGATAAAACATCATTTACTTATCAACTGCGTTACGTATTAAATCTTCGAATCTAATAAATTTTTTTCGCTTAATCACAGGTTGGTAATAAAATCAGAAAATCAACAAAAAGATACATATTCATCGTGTTTTCCTCCTGTGATCTTTATACCTTGATCTTACATCCTGTGATCGTTGGTAATTCTTTCAACGAAGGAAAGTAAATTTCAGTGGCACGTAGATTAAACTCGCGTACCGGAATAAATGGCTGTGTACACAGGTCAGTAAAAACTACCATCTGAAATCTATCGTATTTAAGGGGCCTAGTCAGACGACTACACTTTCTTTTTTTTTATACCTTATTTTTTACTAGTTTTTTAATAGTCGCCGTATGTTTTTTTAAAACATCGATCGAACCAGTTGAACATTCTCTATCAAAAAAGCATTAACCTATTTATAACGGAAAGCCATTAGTTCAGCAGATATCTCAATTGTAATTTGCCCAGACAAATTAATTCTAATCAAAATTAAATTACAATACACACAAATGTTACCTGTTTAGCTTTCGATAATAATAATAATAATCATCGCCTTGATTATTCGATAATCCTACCAAATTACTGTACATATGTAATATGTACTAAATATGTAATAAATAATAAGGAATAGAACAATAGTAATAACAATGAATTCGCTAGAGTTCGTGACGTGTATGCTAATGTTAACCTAAGTGTTATCGAAGTATCACCGAAGCACAGATTAGAATCTGACTACATGTTTATTAATTCGATGGTTAATTCATCGTACCTATGCTAATTAGTTACTTGAAGCATTATCAAGACATAGGCTACGACTTGACTAAATGTTCGCTAATTTGATGGTAATCGTTTAATTATGCGCTACCGTGTATAAGATCGATACATTTAAAATCAGCAAACGTAGATAGCTTTCCTTACAGGCAATTTTCATCTACGCCTATCCCTTCATCTCACGTGGTAAATAATCCCTCAGTGTACGGGCACTTGTCATTCTTATGCGCTCAGAAGATATATAGCACAAATATTCATAATGAAACTGAAGTTATACTTCCGAATATTTCGAGCGACAAGGATAGTGAATTAGATGCGAATTAAAAAGAAAAAGTTGATCCTTTGGATCGACACAGGCAACAAATCAAGTTTATTTTTGTTTTCTTTAATTTTAATTATTATTATTATTCTTTTTCTTCTCTTCTTTTTTTCTGTTTCTTTGCAAAAATTTATAAAACAAATATTTTTAGAACAAAGTTATCAAACGCTGAAAAGGAGACACACATATACTGTTGATCGACCTTAAGAGAAGCATGCGATTCTCTGGAGGAAATTACACATAACAGAGTACAGTAAGAACACAAATCACTTATACTAAAACGCAAATATTCGAACAAAATTCGATAATAACGAACGCACACGAAAAGATAAAAATAAGGAGGATTACTAGCGGCAGACAGTCTAAGTCCAATTCTCTTTTCATCATCTACGATATCATAGAATTTTTCAAACATAAGGAAGCATAAGAAGATAGAGGAAAAAACGAAGCTACTCTTATTCGCAGATGATATGGTAATAAGGAACGATCCAATAGGAATACAAGAAAAGGTAAATACATTACACGACTATTGTGCAGAAATATTTGTACAACTTATATCAGCTATTTTCTCCACTACGTATTTTTTCTTCGTACTGGCACATCCTATTTTTACAGATTTTCTCCTCTGACAGAGAACGCATGAGACGAATAACCCGCGTAAATCGAGGCACGGGTATACTTGCAAGTATCACTTTCTTATTTCGATTAATTGATATTAATGATCAAATTCCATCAATGTCTACTAACCGTATACGATAGCCTGGGATAAAAACAGAGGAAAAAATTATATCAAAGGGTTTCGTTCGTAATATATTTAATATACATTTGCAATAATCTGGAAGTACCCAAATATTATTATGCACGGTAGCGTGTGATCGACACAAGTCAAAAGAAATTGCGGACACTTCGTATTCAGACAAAGTTTACGTTCTTACAAAATTGTGCAATCGATACATATAGGGTGGGTTACATGTTGAAATCGTTTTGTAATGTCTGCCATTGTGCTCGATACCTTGATCCCTTTTCACCCCGGCCATAATACGCAGAGAGTTAGTCATGAGTGAAAATATGATCGATGGAAACAATTTGTATATTTATTGTAAATGATCGATCGCCATCGATATACATAATAAGTAAGCTTTCTGTCATAGAATGAATCGCGTACTTGGTCTCGAATTAAAAAGCAAATATCATCATCACTTCGATGAAGTAATGACTTTCTTCGTTTCCTAATTACTAATCTATTTTCTCTTTTTTTTCGCGATAAGATTACATAAATTCTGCTCATAATGACGTCTATGGTATGATATGAACCTAATCGCAATCTAACCATGGATGAAATAAGCGATATACAAACTGTTTCTTCCTGCGACATTTCTTTTTTGTTGCAACACAATTATTTGGCAATCTGTTAATCAATTCTAAAATAAAAATATCTACTAATAAATTAACACTACATTACGCACAGTGATTTTGCAAGAAAATTTCTTATATCATCGTAAGGCTATACATAATTCGGTTACTTCGATAAAACTGTTGCAGTGACAAAATATTGAAAATATTCAGTGATAAACTATTTGTACGATCAAAGTTCTCTGGCTGCATCAAGTGCAATATCATTTCATTTTGTGTTTTACATTCACCGCGATACAGATTAGTAATAGTATTAAATTAAATAAAAATTTCCATTATTAAGCAATCTAACTTTATAAAAAATATAGGATATTTATAGCGAAGTGATATAATTGTATTATAGTTATGCGTTTATAGCACAGTTAAATAATATTCGGGAACGTACAATATTGAAAGTTAGCAACTTATGAGAGGCACTGCAAGCCATTAATCATAAATTTACATTGACAACTTTGCAACTTTGATTCTATAATGATTACAGCTCTTGCATATCGATTGCACAATTTTCACCACTTCCACATTGTATATATATATATATATATATACTGATCATATGCATTTTACGACAACACTTGCGATAATATTATTTTTCCATGCAACTAGATTTCTTTTTTAGCACCACTTTTTATATAATTGAGATCTTGTATTCGTTTTTCTTTTTTTTATCGTTAGAACTCGATATCGCTTGGTGACTTGCGGTTTGAGAGTTAAAAGTACAAAATATCAGTCCGTCTATGAAGGAACGTCATTGCTACGCGCAAATATCCTGCACGTTTAATTACGTACAAAACTTCGGATTTCATGTTCAGGATTTATATTTTTATTTCTTTCCTTGATTACTTTATTTTACTTGTCAACCTACCGGTAAAAATAATCATCTTTGCTGCTACGTCTTTTGGTGCCTGGTGTCTCGAACAATCTCGACTACATCTCTTTTCCTTCCTTTTCCTTTTTTTTTTTTTTTTTTTTTATGTGAGCTATTGAGCGGTCTGACTAACCTGAATAGGACTTTAAGTATGCAACGTTATTTTCTGTCGTTTTTGAACTCGTTTTCTATCGCTTTTTCAAATTCGATTAAAATATATTAAAATATGCATTTAACTAAACAGAAGACAATGTTCATTTTGGCAAAGATATCTGTACGTGTTTCAATAATTGTGAAAAAAGAACATCTGAAATCCGTCGTTTTGCCGGCTTTTCCCTTTCACTTATTATTTTTCCACGTACTTTTCATTTTATACGTTACACGAAATTCATCCAACAATGGATGCATTAAAATTAGAAGAGTTACATATCCTCGTTTTAAGATAAGAGCCGAAAATCTCATTCTGAGATTAGAAAAGGAAATTTTACTCAGCCTCTATCGAAGACCATAATAAAGTGCTGTGCATAATTATGATAGTGTCATCGTTTCAATCGAAACAGTTGTTCGATCATTTGGAATTTAAATGATATTAAGAAATGATCATAAACGAGCCAAGAGGTATACGAGATCCAAGGAAAAAAATTAATTCGAGGTAAATTATACCTTTCGTTCTAGAACACGATAGTTCATCGATCATTTGGAACTTGTTTCCTTAAAAATAAAGTAAACCTCGAAATAGAAACCTGTCCTAGACACAAGTGAAATGATTTCGCATTTAATCTTCGCCTTTTAATTTCGTCACTTCATATATTTTTTCGACAAGTTCGTTGATCTACTTCAAAATGCAAAGTCGTGAACATTATATCACTTTTGAAGAAGATCGATTCCTTTTACTTTCACTAAAGATATGAGTAATACTGTTGGGAATTCTTAAGAAGAGCTAAGATACGTTCAGAAGATACAGGAACCATTAGAATCACGCTTATGTGACGATTAAATTAAAAAATTACATTAAATTACATATAGGTGACGGCAGCCGACAACAAATGGCAGAGCCACAATCACGTGTACGTTTTTTTTTTCTTTTTTTTTTTTTATTTGGATGAATTTTACAATCAATTCTCATTGAGAATTATAAGTAAATTTTTCTGGCGTGGTGCTATGTCGTGTTTAATAAGTGTTTATCGTGTGTCTGATTCTAGTTGAATCTAGTGCTTAAATCTAAAGGATAATGTGTGTTTAGCCTACAGATCCGATCCGATGTGTCAAGAAATTGAGTAACTAGTGGGTTTTACGTGTACGTAACGTTTACGTAAACGTCGAAGAGTCGAGTTTGGAAATTGTAAAATAAAGGAATCGTTATGCATAGATTATTAGGCGATATAATGTACGGAATGCATGTACGTGAAACTCTGTGAACCACCCAGAGTAAAATACTCGTTATAATAATTAATACAGCAAACGAATTTCCACCGGAGTACTATTCCTCTAATTGTTCCCATAACGATATAAATTTTATACATAGACAAAGATTTTTTATAAATAGATCCTATAATAGAAGTCTTTCTGTTTGCTGAAACACGAGTGTGGCCGACAAGTACAACAAAGTTAATAAATTCGTGTTTTCGTTTCCTGACATTCACCGATCTGATGATATATAGTATACACGTGCTTCTCATTTGAAAACAAGCGAGATTACATCTGAAACGGACCAAATTCCGCAGGATGTTATGAAAGACCAATTAACGTTCCTACCATATGCATATGTACTTCTATGACCCACAAAAATTTTTCTAGTAAAAGTGTACGCACACGAATATGTGTGGCTGCGTACAAGTCGTAATTTTTCCTTTCTATTTCGACCTGTGCGGTGTTCTATGGTATTCAGCTCAAGGTACAATATACAACACAGGAACATAGATAGTTCCGATGAGATTAATTGCCTATTATGCCAATAATGTCTTAATTTATAGACTCGTTTAATCTTTTTCAGCGTCCCATATTTACAAGTTTATATAATATATATATATATATATATATATATATATATATATATATATATATATATATATATATATATATATATATATATATATATATATATATATATATATATATATATATATATATATATATATATATATATATATATATATATATATATATATATATATATATATATATATATATATATATATATATATATATATATATATATATATATATATATATATATATATATATATATATATATATATATATATATATATATATATATATATATATATATATATATATATATATATATATATATATATATATATATATATATATATATATATATATATATATATATATATATATATATATATATATATATATATATATATATATATATATATATATATATATATATATATATATATATATATATATATATATATATATATATATATATATATATATATATATATATATATATAT